TTTATTTTGCCAGTATGTCTGCATTAGCCTGTTTATTAAGACCAGACTCTCAAACCTGATCGTTGACAATCCAAACAGAGTGGCTACTTTTGTCCTTTTTTTCTCTTCCTGGGGTTTGCTCTTTTCTTTAGTTGCTTCTCCCATTCATCTGAATGACCCTTAATCCTTCAACAACATGCTTTAATGTCCTCTGTGAAGCCATTTCTGAACTAATCATTTCATCCTCTGTGTTTTATGGCATCCATCATATTGTAATACAGTTAGATAGGTATATGCTTTCCTCTGGTGCTTTTCTAGCACTTTTGAGCTCTTTGAAGTTAGGGTTGAATCATATGCTCATTCTAAAACCAAAGTACAGTATCTGGCATGCAATAGGGACGTGGTGCATTTTGTTAAACCAGTGAATGACACTGTTAAATAATAGTGGCTTTCTTCTTTTCCAGGAATAACTTTTCCTTTCTTTCCTTTCCTTTTCTTTTTTTTTTCACTACTTGAGTCACACCCAGTGATGCTTGGGTTACTCCAGGCTCTGCACTCAGGAATTACTCCTAACGGTACTTGGGGGTCCATACAGGATGCTGAAAATTGAACTCAGGTTGGCTGTATGCAAGGCAAATGCCCTGCCCACCATACTATTGCTCTGGCCCCAATCATGTATTACTTTTCAACTTTGTGCATTTACTCAATTTATTTGATTTTATAAAAAGTCTTTGCATTAATCTGTACAAATTCAAATTCTAGGTACTATTGACATAATATAAAATGAAATGACATTCATTATTATTGAAAACTATTAAAATAAAGTTAAATATACAACAAAACCAAGAGAATATCTAAATTATAGTGGTAGGCCTTATTGTTCCTATTAACATTAAGCTTCTTTTAACAGATTTTAATGTTCAACATTTTTCCCGATTGTGCTGCTTATTTCCCCAACACAGATAGATACACACATACACACGAAATTTAAACTACCCTCAAGAGTTAGATAAAATTCTACTTTTTACATTAAACGTTACATAAATCTATTATGTCATATTTTCCCCTCTAAGTTCCTTTAATATTTCTAGTCTGTAAACTAAAAAATTTTATATTGTTTTACTACAGTCAACTATTTGTCTCTTTTACTCATCTTAGAGCCAGAATTTATTTTTTATTTTTTAATTTAATTTAATTTATTTATTTTTTATTTTATTTATTTATTTATTTTTTTATTTTTAGTGAAACACCATGAGGTACAGTTGTAGATTTACAATGTTTTGTGCTTGGGTTTCGATTATAAAATGATCAAATGCCCATCCCTCCACCAGTGCCCATTTTCCACCACCATGGATAATATCCCTCCCACCCCCAACCCTCCCGTCTCACCCTGCCTCTGTGGCAAGGCAATCCCTTGTGTTCTCTCTCTCCTCTTGAGTGTTGCGGTCTTAGAGCCAGAATTTTTTAAGCTCATTTTTAAACTTTCATAGTTTCAAATTATATGCAGCAATTAATAAATGCCATGACAGGAGTGTAGTGCGGGGAAAGAGTAAGAAAGGAAGAGAACACTATAACAGTGGCAGAGGGAAATGGGAGGAGGAGGGGTGCTGGAAAGCAGGAAAGTGGAATGCATGAAACACTATCAGCAGTCACTGTCACTGTCACTGTCATCCCCTTGTTCATCAATTTTCTCGAGAAGGCACCAGTAATGTCTCCATTTGTCCTAGCCCAGAGATTTTAGTAAGTGCCACATTGGAGTCTCTTTCAGGGTTGGGGTAATGAGACCCATCATTTTTACTGGCTTTTGGCATATCAAATACACCACGGGGAGCTTGCCAGACTCTGCCATGCGGGCAGGATACTCTCCGTAGCCTGCCAGGTTCTCTGAGAGCAAGAACTAGACATTAAGTGCTTCTGGGAGCTTGGTTTTATAGTCTCTGGACCTTGGCAGTTGATGGGATTACACGGCCGGGGGGCGGGGGGGGGGCAGTTGGTGGTTGTAACTGTCTAGCTACCGGAAGGTGGGGAATCTGGGTGGAGGAGGCCCAGTCCCGATATGAACAGGCTAGGAAATCTCAGTTCCAGGTCCCGCACACCTGGTTTTCTCTGCCAGTTCCTTCATACACGAGACTTGTCTGAGCATGTGGAGAGTGATCTTGAGCATGGCTGTGATTGGTTGTGGAGGTCTTCAGCTGCTGGAGCACTGCTCAGGGCGGATAGGGAAACTCAACCCGCCCCCCTCCAGGGGGCCCTGGTTAGGACAGCCAGGCGAGTGGGCAGGAGATTGCATTGTTCTCTTCCGGGAGCTTGGTTTTATAGTCTCTGGGTCTTGGCCGTTGATGGGATTACACATAATGATGGGAAACACTATCAGTAGTACTACTGTAAATTACAGCGCCTAAGTTATTTGCCAAAAGAAATGTCTGTCATGGAGGCCTGGAGGGAGACCGGGCATTGGTGGAAAGAAATTGACACTGGTAAAGGAATCAGGTTTGGAACGTTGTATGCCCAAAACCCAATTGCGATTAACTTTGTAATCTACTATGACTCAATAAAATAAAAAGTAAAGTCTTGATCTTATAGTCAAGGACTGTCATTGTAAGATCATTTCTTGCCTTATAGTGTTATATTTCTTATGAAAAAATGAGCACCGTTCTGAATCTGGAAATTCTGTAGTTTTCTTGTCTGGGTTGGCTACTCTTCTGTTTTGTTCTACTTTTTGAAAGTTGCAATTGTTTCACTCGAAACACCAAGCAGTATGTCGAGTAAAGTTTATATTTACTTTTCTAATCTTATTGTAGGGTAGGTAAGATAGTTACGATATTGTTAAAGTTTATAATATCAGTGTATAATATCAGTGTCCAAAGTCATCACAGCCTCCCCTCCACCTCACCAAAGTGCCCTCTTCCCTCCACCCCTGTCTCTTTGTCACCCCTCATTAGTATTCATTCTCACCACCTCTCGCAACTTGATTTGGTAATTAGTTTCTTAATCCAAGATCAAATGAGTGCCATTATATGACAGCTTATTTTTCTTTAAGAAAGTTATCTTCTGGTGATTTGTCTTAGATTTTATATTTGCTTTTTACTGTTGCTAGAACTCAGATCTCTGGCTAATTAAAGCATGATTTCTAAATTTGATGTGGCTGACTATTTATTATTGTTATATATTTATAAAATGGGATTCAAATAAAATAGCATTCTAAGTTCATTTACTCTATATAACTTTTATCAGTTATTTGAATGACCAACCAAATTAACCATTAGTTACACTATTGCATGTTTCTCTTCAGAGTAGAAATTACGTCTTCAATTGATCCTCATACAAAAATGTGTTCATTGGTCAAGTTAAAGTATGATTGTATATTTTATGACTCTTCTAATTATAATATCGAATAAGTTTAATGTACACATTAAAAATAAATGTGTCACAGTATTGAATATCTACTTAGAAGTAAGATTAAATTTTTATCATGGGGGAATGGAGCCATAGTACAGGAGGTACAATGTTTTCCTTGCATGTGGCTAACCTGGTTTCAATCCTCAGCATTTCTTTTGGTTTCCCCAGCACGATCAGGAGTAATTCCTGAGTTCAGAGCCAGGATTAACCCCTGTTTTAAGCACTGGGTATGCGTAAAAAAAAAGCATTTTTCTATTTTTGAATTACAATATTTTTCTCTAGCAGTTAAAGCTGCTATTTGTGCAAGTTCTGTTCTCTGATATTTAGAAGACTTGAAATAAACCATGTAAACATGAACATGAACATTTTTGTGAAAAATTAAAATAATGTGCCCAAATTCACTATTCTTTATTTGCTTTAGCTTCAAAACTTAATTTGAGAAGAGACATTATATTCATTTATGTCATATTTGTCACTTGTTTAGTGGAAATTTGATATAACCACTTAGTGACTAAAGTATTTCTTTGGGACTCAGAGATTTTTTGACTTAACCATTAATATATCATCCACTTAATGTGTTACAAATCATTGCTGTGAAACTCTTAGACAAAAAATGGACAGAAGATATTATCAGTCCAGAACTATAAAATCTGCTCTAAGAAAGTAAACATTATAGTATAATTGGATCGTTAATTAAATAATTGATTAATATAGTAAATCAGCAAGTGATGATAAACAAAAACCTTTCTTTGAAGTCATATTTAAAGTAGCACACCCTTAATATTCTTTATTTTCATTTCTGAAATCAAGATGGTGTGTGTATTCTCAGTTGGAAATTATGATTCACTTAGAAATAGCAATTTGTTTACCTGATGGCTTAAAACGAGGAGACTCCAGGAATGAGTACAGAATTAGCTAGAGAAATTTATGCACTGTAGTCTTTAATCTCTGTAATGATACCTCTCAGGTTACAAATAAGGCTACTTAGCCATTGTTATCTGATGCAGCTTTTTTTCTTTCTCCTTTTATTACATTATGAAAATGGATTGTCTATTGATCACCATTTTATGTTCGTTATTTGAAATTCATAGATATGTGTACATATGTGTGTATGTATAAAGAGCAGGGATGAAAAGGGAAAGAAGGTCAAAGAGAGAAAATGATCTACTAAAATGGCACTGGAAAAAAATGGCTTAAATAGCAAGAAAGCATTGGAACTCTGAAATCTAGTTAGTGATCCTATATTGAACTAACTGAAAAGGTTATTTGGAAATAAAGTTGTAGTGTTGGACCTGCAAAATGCACAAATAAGCCAGTCAATTTTATTTATGCGCCCACTGTCCAAATGTACCTTAACCAGTGTTAAAGCACAAAGTCCACTGTTTTATCTATTATCTACTATCATCGTAATCCATTGGCTTTGTTTCATATTGTGCTCAAATCCACCACTATCAGTTCAGAGAAACTTAAGGGACATTTTATTTACTGGCTTTTCCTTTGTGTTGTCCAACCTTATATAGGTAATGAACGTCATCAACTTCTTCACACACACAGGATTTTTGCTATAACACTCTGTCATAATCATGAATCACATATGATGTTGCCTATCTACTATATTTCAGGAAAAACAAAGATTTCTGACAGATGTTCTGCATGAAGTGATGCTGCTTGATGGCTTGGCCAGTTCCCATCCAGTATCACAGGAAGTGCTACGGGCAACAGATATTGACAGGGTGTTTGACTGGATCGCATACAAAAAGGTGGGAATAGATAAGACTCAAGTACTAATAGGATATTTCACTAGCCTGGGGTAGCCAAACTATTTCATGCAAGTTATAGTCTTCTCTTCATCTTGCACATAAAAGTGTTTTGGAAATGTTTGTATAATTCATTTTATGAGTTAGAGCTTTACTTTATCACTAAAATGGGATTAATGTTTGCCAAATATTACAAAGAATATTGCAAGTACTAATGAATAGGTTTTTGGATACAAAAAATTGATATACAAATGGTATTGTGTAAATGTTGGTTTTTATTAATACTGGTAAGAGAGGTGACCTATATAGTGACAAATTATTTTTCATCATCACAAGCTCCTTATGTGCTCATTTTAATTGGCTAATACAAATGGGTGTAGGCCAGTAACATGAAATGTGTATAATTTAAAAATTATTTAAGGGAAATTTGAAAATTTGTGTCTAAGATAATGAGAATAATAAATAAAAATGGTAGACTTTTAAGATTTTTAACCAATGGTTAGATATAGAAATAAATAAAATACATAAACACTTTTTTCCTTGTTGCTTGGACTAGGATTTTTCATTATTTCTTTATAGTTGAGTATTTCCTTTTGAGTGGGGGATGGGGGGTGGTGCTCAGCGCTTTTTTTGATTGTGAATTCAGGGATCACTCCTAGTAGGTTCCTGAGTTCCTTATATATTTTGAATACTAACATATTACCAGGTAGATCACTTAAAATATTTTCTTTTATTCTAAAAGTGCTTCTTCAATTTATTTATTGTTTTCTTTGATAGAAGCTCTTTGATTTAGTATTTATCTGTTAGTTTATTTGAGTCTTGTTACATGTGTTTTATTGTCTTAACCAAGAAATGATTGCCAAGACAAAAGTTAAGAAATATTTTGCCTATGATTTATCCAGAAAGTTTTAGATTTTAATATTTCACATTTAATTTTTAATTTCTTTTATTTATTTGTGTGTATGTATGGTGTAAGATAAGGTAGTTCCGTTCTTTAGATAGTCTATCTTCTCATCACCAGTGACTGAATAGTTTCCCTATACACTGGATCTGTCAAAATAGCTGATTAAACTAAATTAAAAATTATGTTATGAACCTTTTATATTACCTAATTGGTTCAATGTATACATTTTGTAGTACCATGTTATTTTTGATTAATGTAGCAATGTAATTATCAGAAAATATGATGCCCCAGCATTGTTGTTTCTCAGAATTGCATTTGAAATTCAGTTCTTTTTTGGCTCCACAAAACTTTAGAATATTTTTATGTACTTCTGTAGTATAGGTAATCTTTCAGTCAAAATATAGATAATTATCATTTATAAAATGCTACTTTGTGCTAGGTATCATACCAAACTCTTTGTATCATTTCATTCAATTCTCATGACCATCTTATTATCACTTATTACAACGATTCTCATTTTAAACATGAGGACATTTAATCATGTTTAATCCCAACACCAATATTCTTACCCACTATCACATTTGATCAATCGGTCTATTTATTCTGAAACAATTTGTTAACCTCTTGCTTATATTCTAGTGACTTTGTTCATAGTGCTAGAGATTGACAATAAGAAAAATCTTAGGATTTATGATATAATATAAAAGAATTATAAGGGCGTGGTGGTTGTCATATAAAAGCAAAAAGAAATCATATTGTCGAAGATGTCCAATAAAGGGAAACGATGATGATTGCGGAACAGTAAGGAATCCAATCTGATTATAGAATAGTGAATGTATTAAAGGTGTGATTTAAGCAGTAAGAATTTGGAGGATCATTTATTAAAAATTTTGAACTTTATCCAGTTGGTCAAGAGGAACCAATGGAGATTTTCCAGTAGAAAAGTAATACTACTGAAATTGTTTTCTAGAAAGAATATTCCTGCAGTCAGTGTGGTAGAGATAGAAATACTGTGATGGATCTACCATTTCAGTAAAGATTGTAGTGACTATAGATGAAGCAGGCAGGATTTATTAATTTTTTTGTAATCTTGTGTGCAGTTCTTAATAATAATAAAAAGTCTTTCCATTTTTGTCCTCTTCTCTCTGAGTATTCCTGCTACTAAATATTAACCTCTCTCAACCCTCATTGCATTAGTACTTCAGTGGCTTATCATTTTTTGTAATAATTTCCTTAATAATTATTCTCATCATCACACTCCTTTTCTTTTGTTATTCTTCTTCCATAGTATTTTCATTAGCACTTTATATAGAAGTGAATTGCAGTGATACCAATTATAGAGAAATAAAGGTTAGAAAGCAACGGAAGATATCTAATTTGCGTGGGTTTTGTATTTAAGAGCTAAGGATTTTTTTTAATAAAAACTGCTATAAAATATGAGTAGTCTTGAGGCCAGTATTGAATGAAAAATATAAAAGTCTTAAAATTACATACATATTTTCCAAATGGGAAGAGAAAAGTTAGAATTAGTCTGTTAAAAAAAAGTTAGATACAGTGAAATAACATGTTTTCCATTTTAATACTAGATTGAAAAGGAAGATGCTTTTATCCTAAAAGTGTAATGGAAACAGGAAAATACTGTCATTGATAAAAGGACTGGAAAAGATGGATTGAGAGAGTCTCTTTACTCTAAAAGCACAAAAGGAAATAAGAATCAATGACCCAATGACCTGAATGATGAAAGTTAGCAAATGCTCATTAAATTTACATATGATGTCAAGTGGGAGAGAGTTGCGACAAACTCTGGAGGAACAGATTTCAAACTAACTCAATCAAATTTAAAGAAATTTATTAAAAAACAAAATTTTCAACAATTGTTACATCAAGTCATATATATTTTAGAGACCAAAGGAAAATGCATCAAACAAATGGAAAGAATTGGCAAACAGAGAAAAATCTATATAGGTCACAGTGAACACATTTAAAAATGGGGGGAGAGTGACAAAGAAGAAAACACATATATTTCCTATCATCCTTATAAATAAGTATGAAAGACCAGTTAGTCACTTCTCTCTTGTTCTTTGTGATATTAAGATCTCTATCCACAGCCCCATGTCTGGCCATGCACAAGAAGAGCATCTAGAACTCTACATAAAGGATAGGTCATCTTTGAAGAGATTTAAAAGGTGGTGCCTTTCTTTAAGAATGTACCTCAATATTAGATATAAGACCATGACATGAAAACAGGTATGGTGTGAATATAGTAAAGCACATATCTTTTAATGAGCACTTGATATACACACATAATGTTATGGAATACTTTGCATGTATCAACCCACTTACTCCTGAGAGAAAATGTGAAATGTTGGTATTTTCAAAACTCAATCAACTGATGAGGAAACAGACTTAAGAGATTAAGTGATTTCCACAAGATCTGACTTTTAACACGTGAACAATCCAGGATTTTGGAGTCAGATGTACCTAGTTTCAAATTCAGGGGTCTTATCTAAAAAAATATTTTCTAAATAATTTCAAGACAAGTTTTAATATGATCCATCTCAATTGGTTTTCAACACAGTTTTCAAGTAACTTTTCACCTCTTTTTATTCTACCTCTCAAGAAATCTTGTTTGTTCTATCCAACTATTTGATACTGTGACCTTCTTTCATTATCAATACTGTTTTCAGGTGGGTCTGAATTACCGAAGTAGTTTCCAAAAGTTGTCTCTGTTTCTAGCCTTGCTATGGTATATTTTTAACCAAGCTCAGAGCGATGATTTTTCTAACCTAAGGGAGAAATGCTACAATGACTTCTCCCAAATGAGAATAAAAGATAAAGTCTTCACAATGATCAATCAGAACTGGATTTGATCTCCTCTCTCCATTTTGTCACCTATCCTCTTAATCCTTGTCTTATTTCCTACCCCTTGGGCTCTCCTCTTATTATTCTACCTTAATTTATAGTAATTTTGATCTACAAATTCTCTGACTTCCCTGAGTCAGAGAATTTGTAACTGAAATTCCAACTAAAATACCTTTATTACTAGGGCTGTTGAAGTGATTGTTCTCTTTGTAGGTAATGATATTATTCCATATATCTTCAATGTTTTCACTTGTTCCCTTTAAGATTTTACTTGTCACTATCTCAAAGAAGCCACTAAGTTAAAATGTTAATTTGTGTCTTCACTCTTTACTCATTTTCATTATTTAGATCCAGTTTTATTGTTTGGTCCCATAATATATAAAGTATTCTCACCTACTATATAATTTATTCAATATTGCATCACTCTGGATCCCTGCTTTCTTCTATTGAACGTAAACTTCATAAAGGGAGATATGCATAACTGCTTTTTTTCTGTTTTCTAGTACTCATTATAACTGACTGCATATAGTAGGCCCTCAATAAGTATTTGTTGAGATGAATGAAATGTCAGAAAAACAATACAAGCAAAACATTATGGTGTTTCAGCAGAAAAGATCCCATCTGTTTATAAGAATTAGGAAAAAGAGTTGGCACTTTAAATAGGATTAAAGAGTTTGAGATGTAATTTCATATGGATTGCCGAGGGGTGAAGGAAGATTTTGTTCCTGGATCATTCTGTTTTCTAATGGATTCTGTCACTTGTGGCCTGACCTCTCAGCCCTGGACCTCATGGGACCTTTATCTGTTAGTTCAGCTCTCCTCTTGCTGTCTCTGCACTCTCCTGTCTCAGGCACTATCAACCAACTTTCTGTCCTGCAAATTCTTCCAGCTCTCATTCTTCTAAACAGATCCTTCTTAGCATTTGTTTTCTTTGTTCAATCAATTGCATTCAGAGCCCAGTGAATATAATTGGTGACTATTTTCTGTTTTTGACACTTTTCTACCTATTTTACCACACCCTAACTGTGTAGTGGCTTATTGTAACTCTCATGTGTGTGATTTTTTCCTGTAAATGAGTTGGACAACAAGGGTTAGGTGTCTGATAACTATAACACTAATAGTAGGAAGAATGGTATCAGAGTGCTTTGGGAGGGTGTGTTTTGTCACTGGGAATTCACTTAGTTGCCTCAGTTAGTACCCGTGCTAACTGGTAGAGTGGTTAGGTTTGTCTCCAATT